TTTTTTTTTTTTTTTTCTTTTTTTTTTTTTTTTTTTTTTTTTTTTTTTTTTTTTTGGTACCAGGGATTGAACTCGTGTCCTTGCGCTTGCAAGGCAGGCCACCAAACCGCTGAGCTAAATCCCTGGCCCTCTTGTCCCCTTTTCTGTGACCTTTGGAGTTGAACATAGAGCAAATATCTGATAAAAACACTACAAAGCTGGCAGACGGCTGAAGGACTAACGGGAATGGGTGGATTATTAATTCCTTATACCTGCACCAAGCCACTTGCTTGGCCTGCGGATGAACTGACTTCCCCTGGAGAGCTGGGGCCTTAGCATGGCCCCTGCGACAAAGGGGAGAATCATGGAGCCAAAGCCCAAAGGGCACAGGCTGGGCTGGCCAGGAGCAGCAGGGTCAACACAGGCCCTCACCTTTGTTTTCTGAGTTATTGGCAGCTAACGGATGTACTTGCTTCTCCTGGATCTTTTCTATTTCTCTGAGAGACACAGACGTTCAATTTCTGATCTACACCTTTTAGAGAAAGGTTTGTTGGTACCACTAAATTCCTGTGTCTTGGTTGGGGTAAAGATGCTCTCGGAGACGGGTTTGCTGGGCTGGACTCTGCACCCTGAGAACAGTAATGTTAATGGCTCCATCATGACGGCCCCCACCTGGGGAGCTGCTGCTAATTTTGCCCAATTGTATTTCATCTGGGTACATCAGAGGTCCTCCTAGGCATCCCCTTCCGGACACTCCTTGTCTCCCAGGAACACCAAGCGGACAGCTGAAGTGTGGATGGATGAATACAAGCAATACTACTATGCTGCCCGGCCTTTCGCCCTGGAGAGGCCTTTTGGAAAGTAAGTGTCATGCAGTTAAGGAGGGCAGAGAGACAAGAAGGGCCTGGGCTCTTAGTTGATCTCACAGCCTCGCTGATTTCCCTGAGCCTTCAAGCTCCCTTAGGCCTGGAGTTACGGCTGTTCTTCTTTCCTACTCCTTAGTGCTATGCCTTGTCCTGGTTGTATGGGGACCCTCTGCTTCCTGGGCTGCTGTCTCTTTAGGGGGAGCTGAGCTGGGCCCTGCACAGTTCACCAGTACACCTAGCTCTCTGCAGGAAAGATGTGAGACTGGACCCTCCAGGTCAGAGTTCTTCTCACTTCTCCGTTCCCCCAGCGTAAGCTCCCCTCCTTCCTTGGAGGAGCAGTGTGCATGTACATGTCCTCTCCGGCGGTGTCCAAGCTAATGGGAGAAGAGAAAAAGTCTGTCTAAGGGCTAAATAGCATTGCATGAGGTGTCTAATTAATCTGCCCTCAGATCTGAGATGTGGCCCTAGTTACCCCTGTTTGACAGATACGAAAACCGAGGCTTGTGCCAGTGAAAATATTTGAGCTGGATCACACCACTGTGAGGGAATGGAGGCTCAGGCCACACCTACTTCGTTGCAAAGCTGTGTGACCTTGCGCTTGCCAATTTGGAGCTAATTGGAACAGAGAAAAATGGCCTTCATTGGCTATCATTTGTTTTTCTGGGAGACAACCAATGGCTTTTTGTCCTAATAATGTCACTAGTCACACGAAGGCTGTTGAACAGATGGGTTTTAAACTTCATAAGTCAGGCTCTTTGCTGCACAGGAGGATCAAATCCAGACTGGCCAAAATGACTTGAAGCTGTGAAGTCATAGGCTGACTATGCTGGTCCTCCAGTTCTCTAACTCTTCCCCTCCCAAGCATCAGAACTCTCATCCACATCAGAACTTCTGGTCCACGGGCCACAACCCCCAGACTATTTCTTCATCTGCTTCTCAGCTTGTTTAACCACTTAACAGTCTACCTAAGTGTCACTCAGGCAGGGAGTTTGTGTACCAACTAACTGTCTCAGCATTGCTTGGGCAGGTGTCATTTCAACGAGTTGATTCTTGTATTGAATGAATTTGATGAAATTGTCAGTTTTATATATCCTGTTATACTATTTTATAAATGAAAAATGCAATAATTGGACTGAAAGACAGACCGTAGAAGATCTTGTCCTCAGAACGTCTGTCGTGTTGTCCATCTAGCGATCCCCTCTTAGCTCCCCACAACATTTCCTCAACTCCGAATAATCCTGACTTTGTAACCCCCCCGCCCCGTGCACAGGCTGCTGACCAGTACTGACCATATGCCCTGGCCATCAGTCTCAGCCGGGCCTCGCCTGCCTAGCATTTCCCTTCCAAACCTTCCCCCCGACTCCTGAGTCTGCCCCCTCCTTTCCCTCTTGGCAAATGACACCTGTTTTACAGATGAAATAGACATCGATTTCCCAAGACAAATCAACCCATTAGCCTCACCACATCTGCATCATCCTTCTTGGCCTCTTTTGTCTCTGGGGACAGGTGTGCTTCCGGAGTGGGAGGCCGGCCCTCCTCCACCTGCACTCTGCGTGTTCCATTCATACCTGCTCTCATTCATAAATCAACATCTATCCCGTTCCCGCTGTCTGGATTCATCTCCTGCATCCTAGTGCAGGGCCTCTCCAATTTTAATGTGCTCACAGATCTCTCAAGGATTGTGTTAAGATGCAGACTCTGACTCTAGACAGGTCTACATTTCTAATGAGACCCGAGGTGATACAGTGCTGGTCTGAGGACCCCAACTTATGGAGCAGGGTTCTGGGGGAACATTCCCAAACAGTTCAATAAATGGAACTTTCTGAGGAGCTTCAAAACCCCTCCTGCCTGGGCTTCTCCTGCACAGGGCTGATTGCCTTTCTCAGAGGGTCCTGGGCTGTGGAATTTGTAAAAATCCCTTCCCACCACAGCCGTGGTTCCAGCGTGCAGCTGGGACTTGTCTCCTGGTGCCTCCGCTCTCATCTGTCCTGTGCTACGTCATTTCCATTTTTCAGGAAAGAAAACAAACTCAGAGCCCTCCCTCAGCGTGGCGTTGCTCTTCACCTGCACCCCTGCCAGTTCAGGGCCCAGTTTCATGAAGCAGAGCTCTGTCTTGCGGTCACCCCCATCTCCTGCGGCTACTCCCTGCCGGATGAGCCTGGACTGCTGCACACCCTATTCTCCTAGGCTACCCCGCACACTTCCTCACCCCCGCCAGGGTGTGCTTCCTCAGCCCCAAGTCTCTAGAACACTGCATTCCCTGCTTTTTTTCTGCTGCTAGGCTCCATCTGGCAGCCCCATTTGTGGGCGTGGTTTCTTTCTACCCTCATACACTGGCTTCCCTCTTCTTACTACACATCACAGCTGGCACTGACTGCAACCTCTGCGCTACCCTTACTCAAGGCTGTTTCTAACCAGAAATTCTCCTCTGAGCTCCAGGCCCGTTCATCCAAGTATCAACGCCTCCACCAAGATGTCTCCCAGCCATAAGTCTTAAACTGAATTCACAAAGTTTGCTCCTATATCTGCTCCTTGTTCCATATTCCCCATCTCCATGAACAGTCTTCTCTGCACCCTATTGCCCAAGTCTGGCTGTCACCCCTGTCCCTTCCTGCCTCTGTCCCATCAGTGCTGTGTCATTCACACACTGGTCACTCAGGCCCTTGCTGCACACCCAGCATGGGCTTCACTAAAAACCTGCCTGTCCCGCCTGGAGGAGCCTATTCTGCTGAGGAGGTGTGGTCTGGTCTGATATACATTCTGGTGCGGTCTCAGAGCTCAGGCGGACAGAAGAAGGAGGGGAAGCTGGACAGGAGGCCGGGCTGGTAGTGTTGGCCTCCCCCGATGACAAGGTATGAATGGAGCTTAGGTTGCCCAGGCAGTGCAGGTTGAGAGAAGTAGAGGATTGATTCTGTCCCTCCCCCTAGTGGACACATGATTGGCACCTGGGCTTCCATAGCTTTTCCATCCTTCCTGTCCCCAGCTCTGTCCCATCAAGCCCATCCCCAAATCGACAAAGCACAGACATCAGCATGCCATACCCCCTTTGGAGCCCATCAGTCTCACCCCAGTGCCCTTAAGGTGACATCCAACACCTCAGTGATGCTTTGCGTGCTCCTTTGTGCACTGTCCTGCTCCCATCCCTCCCACCGCCCTCCTGTCATTCACATGCACATCTTCTTTTAGGCCCTGCACCTCCTTCCTCTTTTCCTCTTGGCCTCTTTTCCTGCTCCCCACCCGTAGCAGGGCCCCTACCTCATCCGCTTTCTGGTTTGTCTACGGCAGAGGTGGTGAACCTATGACATTTGTGCCGCAGTGGGCACATTGATTTGTATCAATGAAAGCTCTAAAAGGTTCATGATCACTGGTCTGTGGTATCCACTGCTCCTTCTAGATACCAGCATCACATTACTGCCTTAGCCACTGTAGATGACAGGTAAGGATGCACCCCAAAATCCCCTAAGCCCACCCTGTGCCACATGGGGCTCTGATGCTCATTTCACGGCCCCAGAGCTTTCCGTGGCACCTATGTGGAGTACAATGTGTGACACATAGTAGGTGCTCAGAGACTATCTGCAAAGTAAATACATGCCCAGACACCCTGGCACAAGCCACAGAAGGGAATTCTCTGAGGCTGTGGCAATGGGCAGTGGTGTTTCACCTGCAGAATCCAAAGAGATTGTAGCCAGAGCCCTGGCAGTGAGTTATTAACATGCTGAATGTTCTTGCAGTTTTGTTTTTAATGAAAAGTAAAAGCACCCCCAAATTCCATTTTCAAATAAAAGCACAAGTCCTCGGTGTCATTATTGTACCACCGTGAGATATTGCTAGGTGTTTCCATAGCTCTGTTGGAGCTATAGAAATCTCTGCTTCGTTCATTTCCCCAGCTTCCCCTGAAGACCCGTGGGCACCTGTCATGCCTTGCGCTCCACAGCCTGGGCTGCTGTCGTGGTTCTGCCTCTGATGGCTGATTTGTCTTTGTCACCCCCAGCATTGAGAGCAGACTGAACCTGAGGAGGAATCTGCAGTGCCAGAGTTTTAAGTGGTACCTGGAGAACGTCTACCCAGAGCTCAGGTACCCCTGCCTGCTGGAGCCTCGGCTTGTCCCAGAAAGGGGCCACAGCTGGCTTGGGTGGGTGGGGCACAGCTGGATGAGGGGTTTTAAGTCTGTGGGAGACCAAGAAGACCATTTTGCTTCCCTTAACCCCTAAGCTGGAAGGCGAATTTTTTTCAAATCAGCAGCACAAGGGGCTGAGAGCAGCTAGTTGCGGTATTGCTCAGCTGCTGGTGTTGGTGGCCTGAGTTTTGGCCTGAGAGTGCGGGCTTGCAGACACTGACCCTCCAGCTGTAGTTCCTCAGCATTCCTGGGCTGTCTTACTCCTGGTGGCATCCTCCCCTCCTCTGAGCAATGCTGGTCTTTGTGACAGCCAGCGGGAGGTGGTCCTGCCATTCTCAAAACATGCTCCCAACCTCTCCAGCTGCTAGTGTTCGCGTATCTCTCCTTGTGGTTTTCCTCCAGTGTCCCACAGGATTCCTCTATTCAGAAAGGCAACATCCGGCAGAGGCAGAAGTGCCTGGAGTCTCAAAAGCAGAACAACCAAGAGATCCCAAACCTAAGGCTGAGCCCCTGTGTCAAGCTCAAAGGAGAAGAAGCAAAGTCACAGGTAAAGTCACTGTCTGAGGACACGGTGCCAGAAGAGGGAGGTGGGTAGTTCCTTGTGGGTGGCTGTCATGTCCTACAGGCTGTGTAGCTGCAGTCCTGGGCTCTGCCCACAGATGCCAGTAGCACCAGCCACACACATAAGTCACAGCAATCAAAAATGTCTCCCAACATCCTGAAATGACCCTGGGGAGACACAACTGTCCCAACTAGGACTCACTGTACTAGGTTATGTAAGAGCTTCCAGTTCCTCCGGCCTCCTATTTCCACTGGTCATCTCTTATGTGTAGGCTCTAAACCATTGTTCCCAACCTCAATGCTGCTTTTAATGACTCTCCATTGACCACGATAAAAAATCCACGCTCTTGGGCCTGGCTGGAAAGCAACTCCCAGGCTGGCTGTGGTTGTCTATGACTTTGCCAGGAACCGTCTCTGCTGCACTGGGTGTGGAGAGTGGTCTTCCTGAATCAGACCAGAAAAGGAAACCCAGGTGCTGATTTTGTTTTTTGTTTGTTTGTTTAATGATACAAACAGCTTTTTATTGGAAGGTAGAAGTGTGCATTTGGTGTGCTTTTGCACAGTTAGTTGTGATCTTTACTGTTGGATGCATGCTGATAATTTGTCAAAACTTGGCTCATACTTTGTTAGTTTGAGAGCAACACATGCAGCACTCAGGTCATCTGTCGGTCTGTTTCTTGTATCAGATTTGATATAATTCAAAGCTGAAAACAGCTGCGCACAAGCGTAAGATGATCCAAACAAAGTGAGGAAAGCAATCCCAAATGCTTTCACTGACTGAAAATTACTTGGCAGAGAATTCCCTACTTTAAGGACTGCATTTTCAGATCTACCAAGTACAGGGTCTTTCATCACCCTTTCAGTCTGTATCGTCTCTGTCTTCACAAGTGTGGTGCACAGGTCGTAGAATTTGTTTTTCCAGGTGGAGCTTTCTTTTTATCATCAGTTAAGTTGATGGGTACGGTTTAGATGCACACGATGATCACTTTCATCATGTGGAATTTGTACCTGTACCTGATAGGTCTTGGTTCCTATTTCTCCCATTCCCCTCATCTCCCTTCTACCCCTCTTCCCCTTCTTATTTACAAGAGCCATTGTATCCTTCTTTTCTCATTTTTTCTTTCTTCTTCCTTTTCCTCTCCTCCTTCTATTGTGCCCCTTCCCGTTTGAACGTTTTCTCCTGTTCCACTATATCTAATTATACATTTGGGTGCTTATTTATACTTTCAGCTTCTCATACCAGAGAAACAATATGATATTTGCACATGTGCATCTGACTTATCTCCCTTGAGAGAATGGCCTCTATGTAGTAGGGTACATTCATTTCGCTATAAATATCTCAGGTTTATCCTTCTTTATGGCTGAGTAGTACTGTGTTGTGTAAAAAAGCCCACATTTTCTTTATCCATTCAACGGTTGATGGTATTTGGGTTGTTTCCAATATTTAGCTATTACAAACTGTGCTATTATAAACATGGGTGTGCATAGATCGCTGTGGTATGATGCTTTTAGTTCTTTTGGGAAGATACTGAGAAGGGGGATAGCTAGGTCAAATGGAACCTCTGGTCCTAGTTTTTTGAGGACTCTCCACACTGATTCCCACACTGGTTGCACCAGTCTGCGCTCCCACCAACAGTGGAGAAGGGTTCTTTGTCCGCCACAGCCCTACCAGCACTTTTTTATTGGTTGATTTCCTGGAAATTATCATTCTTTCTGGAGTGAGATGAAATCCCAGTGTTGTTTTAATTTGTGTCTCTTGAATGACCAGTGATGTTGAGCACTTTTTCATAACTTGCTAGAAGAGAGAATAAGTGGACCTCTTGAAGACATAGGTATAGGCAGACTTTATGAACAAAACTCTGATCACACAGGAAATATTACAGTGAATCTACAACAGATCTCAGATTATTAAAAGGCTTCTGTACAGCAAAAAGAAATCACCAACAGAGTAAAAGGACAACTAACAACAGAGTAGGAAAAAAATTTTGCCAACTGTTCCTCAAACAAAAGATTGATATCTAGAATATATAAAGAACTGAAAAAAATGGAACTCCCCAAATATAAAGACCCAATCCAAAAATGGACATCTGAGAGGGATACACACTTCCCAGATGAAGAAGTACAAGGTTTGATTTTGGCTTAGGTGTGGCCACCTGGCTGAGTAAATGAAGCGACTTTTTATAACGTGTGGTCATTCCTGCTCTTGAATCGCGTGGGCTGTGATTATGGGGATCCCAACAGCCCCAATGTTATGTACCCCTTCCCTAGGACAGCAGTTTGCTTGGTCTTTCTTCAGGGAGGCAGAGATTCTTCTGGAACTTGCTGTCTTTGGCTGCTTAGGGAAGTGAGAGGGAAGGGGCCACGGGCTTTGTGGGCTGCAGGCCAGGCCCTGGAGAGACTGCCAGGCTTTCATCTGCTGGAGAAGAATTAGCCCATTCCAGCAGACTTCTGCCATGCGTGGAAGAAGAAGCAGTCGGGGTCCTGGCAGTTAGGTCTACAGGTAAACGGAGTTCTCCAGAAGGCAGTGTTATCTGTGCTCCTCTCTGCCGTGAGAGAATAACTTCGCTTGTGTAGCTACCATGTGAATTCAGGATGCTAGAGGATAATGGCAAGATAGAAGTTTGATCCTAGCCTCCATGCTGCCTGCTGGGGGTGAAAGGTGAGGTCATGCTGGATTAGACACAGCCCCTGTTCTTAGGAGCCCATGGCCCAGCAGCTGGACTGGGGTCCTTTTCCAAATATACCGGTGATGTTCAACCCATGTTAGATTGCAGGAAATCCACACAGTCATTTCCCCTGAAGTCTTCTCCCCATTTGTTCTTGTGTGTGAGAGTCCCGTGCACCCTTGCAGGACTGCCTTATGTTCCCTTTCTCTTCTACTCTGAAGCCTCTCCTACTTCCTCATTAACAACCAGTCCCATCTTTCCGCTTCTCGGCCCGTTCTGCTAATATCAGACATTGGCAGGGTTTTCTCCTCTAAATGCTACTTTGCCCTCCTTTCCTCTGCACATCTACATCCTCACTACTTGTCCTGCCTCTTGGCTGTTCAGAGGGTGTTGCATCTTCCTTCAAACACCTTTACATGGTGTCCATACCAACTTGTCCCTATGCCCACCGTGTCCATCTCTGAGAGGCCATATCAAGGAAGCAGCATAAGAGCTCTATTTATTAGATGTTTCCAGGGCTCTCAGAGGTTATTCAAAGTGTAGTACAGGGGGGTCCCCATGCCCCCTCTCTCCAGCAGCTCTGTCATTTCTGATGCTTGCTGAATCATGGCTAGTTTTAGAGCTCTCTTAGGCAAGTTTAGTTGTAGGAGGAAATGCCTAGCCCTGAGATTCCTCTTCAAGGTTGTTAACAGTAAAACTATTGATCAGCTCCACTTTGACAGGAGGCAGCTGATGTATCAGTGGTAACTGGAGAAACAGATGTAACGAGATACACAAATATATAAGAATTTACAAGATTGGCTTACAATGGCCACCCACAATCTGACGAGGAAGAATGCAGAGGATCTGTCTGCACACTGGAGATGGAAGGATTTAGTAGAAGGTCTGGGGTTCACTGCAGTGTCCTGTGCAAGTCCTTATCAGGAGGTCCGTGAGTCTTCGATGGAAGGCTGAAGGGTCTGCACCAGACACTGAAGTCTGCACTGGAGATGACATCCAAAGTGAAGGCAAAGACTGAAGCTCCTCCAAAGAAACAGAAGCAGATCTGTCCTTTTTCATTTCCCCTTTATTCCATCCAGGTGACAGGCTGCCCTAGGGTGGATCTTCCACATCCCAGGGTGTGGAACTACTGATTGGAACTACCGATTTATTGGAGCTTCTCTTACTCAAGTTCACACAATCGTTCAACCATCACAGCTCGCAGAAGAATCTTCCTTGTGGCCAGTTTTCAAGAGCAACCCCTGTAAACAGTCAATGGTCCTACCCCATGTCAGGGTGTAGGATGAGCAGGTCAGAGAGTCTTCCCCTCCCTGCTAATATGTATAGGAATTGAGGCGAGAGTGGAAAAGGAGGCCTGTACTCCATGGGTTTCACCCCAGGCCACGAGGACAATTGCAGCTTCCCCCTTTTCCTCCTAACCCTGGCTCTGCCCTACACCCAGCATCCCCCGCCTGCATGTCCAAGGATGGTCATGCCCTCCGGTAGTTGCCCTTGGATTGAAAGGTGTGTACTAGGGACACAGTCTACCTTCAGAAGATAAACCCTGGTATGACATCCATGCAGGACTTGAGATCAGGCTGAAGCCATTGGGCGGGGACCCCGAGGCCCCGAATAAAAGGAATTGGGGACCAGGAGCTCCAAGTCCTGCTTCCATCTACCATTCACTTGCCAGACGGATGAGCTCTGGGCACTGGGTACCTTCACTGCTACAAAGAGACTTTTATCCTCCAGGTCTGAGTGTGGCTCACATCCCAGTTGCAGCCCCAGCCCATCCATCCCTCACCCTGTACCACTTCCCTCCCTTCCGTCCCACCTTGGGGACAAAACATTGATTTGAGTGTACATCAAAATTGCCAGCAGCTAATGCCCCGGGGCAGATGCAGGAGAAATAATACATCATGCATTTGAAAGCCTTTCAGACCCTGGAAGTTTCCAGATCAACAAGATTTCTCTGAACTTTACTAGATTCTCTAGAAACAATATTCTCTAGGAAGAGAAGAGTGGGGCCCCAATTTAGTTTCTAGCCCAATTTAAAGAAAGGGGAAAACCTAAACGAAAATGCTTTGTTGTGTCTCCAGCCACCTAGGCTCCCTTTCACCTGGGGGACTCACAGGCAGATGAGGGTGACACCATGTGCACATGGGCACCTCCCAGAGCAGGAAGACTATCCAGAGTCACCTGCCACTTTCCCACCTCTGTACCTGTGGCACTTTCCTTCCCAAGCCTTCTCAGCATGGCTTTGGGAACCACCCCGAAAGTCTCCTAGTCAGCTTCTGAAGGAAAATCCCCAGAGCTGTCTCTCTTCCTCTCTGCTTCTTTACCTTGTGCTGCCAGTGAAGCAGACAATAACCAGGCGATTGCTAAATGGAGAATACCATTCTGGAACGCGGTGTATTGTCCCATTTATTTTGTATAGTGACCCCCCTGCCAGGGGGACTGACAGAGTTTTCATTTTACAGTTGAGGTTCCTGAGGTACAGAATTGAGTAACTTGCCCAAGTTCACAAGGTTATTAAGCCAGGATTCTAACCCCAGCAGTCATCCAGAGCTCAACCCTAGGATGAACACAGAATGTATTAGGTATAGGGTTTTAACCCACATATATGTGTATTTTTACAATATGGGAATAAAGGACAGGATGGGTTGGAAATAGAAAAAAATACCCCAAAAGTGGGTCCAGTGAAGGTCCTAGTTGAAGGAGGTGTGTGAGTATGAGCCTTCTGGGTCCCTCTGCTGCCTCTGGGCAGGGCCCTCCACCAGGCTGGGCTTGAGGTCCGTGTCTGTGAACCAGAAAGAGAGAGAGAGAGACTCAGCACAGCTAGCTGGTGCCCTGGAGTTTTGCCACAGTTGATGCTGATCTCTGCAGCTGATGCTTCAGAGATCCAGGTGTGCTGAGAGGCCCCTGAATGAAAAGTTCCGTAGTATCTGGCCTCGTTCATTCCAAACACCTTTTGTGAAGAGGGCTTCAAGAGCGTGTTCCATAGACCAGTGAGTTGCCTGTGTGACCTCTAAGGTTGGAGGCCAGCCAATGGCGGTGAGTAGTTAGGCACCTCCTCACCAGGGAGGGCTCACGTGCAGTCAGAACCAGAGCTGCTCCTGGTGTTGCCCAGAATAACCATTGACCCTTTGATCTTCGGTCTTCCCCTTCCTAGAATGATACCTTCCTCCCAGGGCTTCAGAGGATGAAATGGACCATGATTGGGGACTCCCTGGAACTTGACCTGACCCTTGAAAGGTTCCCTCTCGGCAGGGTTACATTGGCCCTGTAGTGCAACAAAACCAGCAGTGCTGCCTTGCATTGATTTTTTTTTTCTTTTCAGTTGTTTAATGTTGCTGCACAGAAGAATTTTTGAATGTGGAACTCGTCAGTAAATGGCATGGACTGACATTTCTGTCGCCTCACCAACCCCTCCAGTGGCATGAACATGCTGCTGTACTGGTGGAGCATTTACTTCCGGGCAGGGCCAGGCATCGTCTTTTGTGCAGTGACCCCATGCACGACTGTGTCCTCTTATCACCCCCACTTAACAGATGGAGAGAGTCAGGCTATCAGGTTGTTCGTGATTGATGCCAGGGCAGGCTCTTGTGGTTTGGGGGCAGAAAAGCTCTCCAGTGCTCTAGGCTGATTGTTTCCTGCCTGTTAGAGGAGGGAGCCCCAGGACCAGCCTTTGTGCCTGCTCTCATCCTCACCCCTGCCTGTCTTACTTGATTGCCTCTTAAGAAACTATTTCCCCCTGCTTCTCCACCCAGTGCAATACAGTAAACCCCAAGCTGGGCACTGTGTCCCCCATCCTGACTTTTGCAGTGGTGGTCAAAGGGGTATTTCCAGGAGAGATGTGACCCCCCCCACCCCGCCGTTCCCTGCCTGCGGGTAGTAGTGGCTATCTCCAGAGACATCCTCGAAGCATAGGTGGTCAGTTTTCCTTTTCCAAGGGCCTAGTAAAAGGGCTGGAGGGCCAGGAGTAGACCCTTGTCTCTACAGAGAGCCAAAGCAACACGCACCAGCCTATAGGACCATCTTGCAATTACTTCCCTGTGTGTGCACTTTGGGGATGAGGAAGGCTGGGCCAGGCTTTAATCAGTCTCCCGATAGAGCCACATCAGACCAGACTTTCCTCCTGTCTCCTCCCCACCCTTTCTCCTTCCTCTCCACTCCCAGATGTGAGCAGAAGTCAGCAGCTCTCCTCCTGGAATTGAATGCTTGAAGTTCCAGCGAAGTACCAGCTTGTGGAATGTCCACCAGTGTATGGGCTTCGATCCCTGTCTGTTCACAGGCCCTGTGGGGAGAGCTTCCTCAGACCCCAGCCTGGGTGAGCCACCTACCCGTGTGCATTCTTTTCCAAAAGGCTTTCATGGATTGGAGTCTCAGATGCCAGGACAATCCATGCCCAGCACTTCCAGGCACCTAGGCTATTTAAAAAGAAATGTCAAAATGGGCTTTCAGGTACTCCGTGTTTTAGGTTTTTGTGTTTAATCCATTAATGCTGTTAACACGAAAATAGAATGCCATTATATTGTGGTGGTCATAAATTAATGACAGGATTTATTTTTAAAGTGGCTAATTCATCCTTCGCTATGGGCCATAGTGCAGGTAATGGATGAAAGGTACAAGCCTCATTCCTTTTTCTTCATCACTCACTGTTTGGCCTTCTTTCCAGAGGAGAGCCAAAGTCTGAAGTTGAGGTCCATTGTCCTGTGGGCCTGGACAAACAGTCCCGGCAGCCCTGCCCTTAGACCTGGCTCTTAGGCCCTTCACTGTCCTGCCCACAAGCCGGGAATGTTCTGGGCCCACATGCAGGGACCCCTTCCGGATCACACTCCATATATCTTAGGACCCCACGATCCCCTGCTCCACGATCCAAGCCTGTCTTTGGGGCCTGTGTGGACCTCATGCCTGTGTCCTCTGGGTGAACTGTGTCACTAATACATACTCTGGCAAATTCCCCAGGAGAATGACCTTATTTGACTCTGCAGGCTGGGGAGCAGGCACGGGCTGGCAGCATCACTGTGAGGGTCCCTGTGGCTGGGGCTGGGACTGTGGAGCATGGGCCTCCATTCACACTCTTGCCCTAATACCATAAAAGCTAGGGGAGGACTGCTCCCTGGCCTGTCCACTCCACACTCTGGGGGTACAACCTTTGTTTGCCTTTCAAAGGGATTATCATTAGGAACTGGCTACAGAAACACTCCTGAGTCCAGTTAAGGTGGAACTGATCTGCGGTTTTAATATTTACAACCTTGAGGAATCTCAGGGACAGGTATTATCTCCTGTGACTCGGTTTGTCTAAAAGAGCTCCAGAGTCAGCTGTGATTGAGCCAGCATGAGCAGTGGCAGAGCTGTGGGAACTACCTGGTGTGGGGACCAGTCGTAGGACATGACTTGAATAACCTCTTTAAGCCTGGCTGTCATCACCTGTGAGGTGGGGACAATGGGGTTCAGAGGAAGATTGATCAGTGTAAAGATCTCAGAACAGTCTGGCACATAAAAATGCTGAAAAAGTAGTGTGTGTTATTAACCACATGAAGAGCTTTGAATCACCTCTGTGTGTCTAGACTTCTTTCCCCTTGGCTTGTCTGGGAGGGAAGCAAATGGCGTGTACACAATGATGATGTTCACAAGGCCAAAAAATACTTCTTGGCATTCCCAAGGAATATATTTAATGAGTATTTTGTTATAGAAAATTTCAAATAAAGGTAGATGTGGAAGTAGATGGAATTGTACAAAGAAAGCCCATCTATGTTGCAAAAATCATCAACTCAGAGCCTTGTTCATCCACTCCCCAGAGGGTACGTATTTTCTAGTCTAGGTCATCTCCCAGCACCTGCAGTTTGAAAAGGGAGTGAAACAATCATGCAGCAGGAGCTGACAGGGGCTCCCACTGAATGATGGCCCTATCAAGCGGTGGAGGACAGGGAAAGGTTCTGGGCCAGGAGGGGCAGCAGTCACTGTCCATTAGGTGGACCCAAATGGGGCAAGATAAGCTGTGTGGCCAGGACAGTAGAAGAGCCCAAGCCTGTGGGAGAGAAGGAACAAGGCCGGTCCTAGAAGGACATTAACGATGTTTGGCCGACCATGGAGAGGACCAGGCCCTGGTGGGGTGGGGCGGGGGGGGGCGCAGGCAGGGAAGATGCAAGTGAGCCATGTCCATGTAAGAGACACTCAGTGCTGGAGCAGAGGTGTCTCTTCTTACGGGCTCATTGTTCACTCTTAGGCCAAGAGGAGTAGCCTCAATGGTCTGATCCTGGGCTAAGGGTCAGCAGGGATGTGGTAGAGAGCGGATACAGCCCTTTACAGGGTCCTCTGCAGCTTGTCTTAGGCTCCACCTAAGAGACCATCTCCTTCGCCACAGGATGAAACAAAGGGCAGATGCTGTCCTTGTGTTCAGCCTGAGGAAGACCTCTCCATGGACCACATGTTGACAGCTGTGATGCCAGGGCTTGCTGTCCCCTGACTTGCTTTGGGCCTCACACCACTTGCTCCGTGGTCTTTGGCACTTTGGATGGAATATGTGAGGACCATTCCTGGTGATGACCTCACAGAACACCACCTTACACTGCTAGAATTCTGCTTGTGAACCTGATTCCTCAGCGTCTTCCTGCAGAAGTTCAGGGCCAAATTGTTGACTCTACTGACATATTGGAGTGCGTGTACCTCTTAAGATAATTGGATTTCTCATAACTTTCTTTCCCTCCCAGCCCCTCCTTTGGATCTCTTCTTCCTCCCCTTTGCCCCTCAGTCTGTGTCTTGTCATAGTTCTCATACTCCCAAAATGTTGATTTGAACTCCCTTTAAAGAAGGGGACGGTCTAAAGTCAGCTGGAGGTAGGGGATCAACCTGCGGGGTGGCTGCTGGAGATGGCAAGTATGGAGAACAGGTTCCTCTCAAGACATCATCTCCAGACAGGGTTACTAGATAACTGTATGTTTCAGCTGGTCTCTTGTGCAGGCTCTTACTCAAAACCCAGAATTGCTTGCTTCGAAGGAGCCATCTGTGTAGGCCAGGCCCAGTCCTCATCACAGGGCATAGGAACAGAGACTCCCATGGGAGTCTCTTCTACACTGAGGCCCTTATGTAGCATTTTCCAAGGTGACTTTGTTGATGGTCAGTGACTGTTGGGACTTCTGGCACTTCTTGCAAGCTGTCCTGATTATCACACAGAGGCACAGTAGTGTCCTGTGAGTGGTCGCTTCCTCAATGCTGAGCACCTTCCTGGTCTCTCCCCGCAGGGGTGGGCCTTCACCTACACCCAGCAGATCATCCAGGAGGAGCTGTGCCTGTCAGTTGTCACCTTGTTCCCTGGTGCTCCAGTGGTCCTCGTTCTTTGCAAGAATGGAGATGAGAGACAGGTAAGCAATGGCCAGGTCTGGGGTGTGGCTGCCATGTATAATGTGTCCTGAGTAGGACTGAGTCTCATGGGCAGGATGGAAGAAGAGCTATTGGAAGAGGCAGCATTGGAAAGAAGAAAGTCCCTTCAGTCAGGAGAGGGGGGTGTGCTGCAGAAGGTCTCCATGGGGCCAGCAGCAATGCCATGTTGCCCCCTCTGCTCATCTCAAATGGCAGTCTGTTGACCCAGATGACCTCACCAGGCTGCACATCTGATATTGGCCCTCATTGTTCCATACTTGCCTGGGATCTGAGACAAGGATCTTAGGGCCACAAGAATAAGCAGGATTTGACCCTTTACCTTCAGGACTTTGAGCCCTGATAGAGTGTGCCCCCAAAATTCATAGCATTCTAGATGCACCATATGCCCACTTCCTTAAGCAGCAAGGTGCTGGTTTCTCTTGGTTTCCTGCCCAACACCACTGCGACTATGGCCCACTGGCTGTGTGAGCAATGGAAGGGTTCTGAACCTCTCTGAGCTTCCCTGTTCTCCTCTGTGAAGTGGGCTGGTGATGCTGGCCACACAGGGCAATTAACTGAGACGGTCACTACAAAGCACGGAGCACATTGCCTGGCCCATCATGGTTCCCCAGTACCTGTCCGCCCTCTCTTTTTTTCACACAAGGGGAAATCAGAGAAACAGCGCAGGGGATGCACTGTCCGGCCTGGCCCTCATCCAGACGCTTTGAAGAAGGCCCCCACCACTCCTGCCCTTGTCCCCAGTGCCCTTGCCATTCTCCCCCACCTCTTTGTCACCATGCAGACAAGGCATGGAGCATTTCTTTGGTTGCTCCTGTGACCAACTTGCTTTACATTTCCTGACCTATTGCTTTGCAAGTCATTGCCTCCTAATGAGTTTTCCTAGCAAACATATTGATTTTGCTTTAAAGTATTTTTTAAGCCAATTTTTAAAAGAAGAAAACCAACAATGGTACCAGGCAGCACAATTAGTTACAATTTCATTTATCCATGAGACCAGGAAATCAAGTCTCTGGCTGACTCTAGACTTGTGGTGTCAACCTCTTGATGATGCTGGAAATCTGGATATTTATAAGATCCTTGGCCTTAGCCAGAGAGACCCAGCTCATTCTCTATCTCCTCCGTCTTCTTAGCAATGGAGCAAGACCGGTTCCCGAATTGAGCACATAGCATCTCACCTCTGCCTAGATACAGACATGTTTGGTGACAGCACTGAGGATGGCAAGGAGGTGGTTGTCAACCCATGCGAGTCCTCTCTCATGAGCCAGCACTGGGACATAGTGAGCTCTTGAGGACCCTGGGTGGATCCAGCATGGGCTGGGAAGCCATGCTTCCCTCGACCAGAACAGACTGGAAACCAGGCTATGTACAGCCTGCGACTGTACCAGATGCCCTGGCTGGAGGTGAAGCTGAGTCCCTCAGGACAAGAGCTGCTGTCTCAGGGAGGAGGCAGGAGAAGGTCGCAAGCTGGCAGGGCTCAGCGACAGACTCCATGTGTGCGCCTTGCTGTGAAGATCCGTCCTGGCCCAGTCTTCCCTTGATTGGCACCTGGTGACAGAGATCTGATGGGAAGTGATTGCTGTTCCTTTCTTACAAAAGAGGGACCCACGGAGGCCAGAGTGGGAAGCTTTCCTTGTCACCAGGCCAGGACTAAACTGGAGATGCAGAATGGAAGTGGTTTTCAGAACAAATAAAATTAACCTTAGAAGCTGTCCTTGGATATCTCTCATGCTGCTGCTTCTTGTGTCTGCTCAGGGCCAAGCTGATTTTTCCATTGAATGTGGGCAGGGGTGGGGATGTTTTGTGGCAAGTGGGCAAAGGAGAAGACAGGCAGATGGGAGACCTGTGACCTTATCCTAGGTTGCCAGCTAGCTGTGTGATCCCAAAAGCCCCGTCCTTCCTTTGGTCCTCCATCTCCTGCTGTGTCACACGGGGGGGTGGGACCAGAAGGGTATTTTTTACTGATGATGCAAATGCTGATCAAAGTACATAGTGTGTGTTTAACTTTTTATGACAGTAAAAGACACATTGCCATTCATCTTCTTCAGAACACTCCCCCACCCTTTGAACACAATTGTCTTTCTTACCGTTTCTGAAACAGTTCTGGAAGGCCTCTTTTATGAACGTCTGTAGAAAGATATGATCAAAAATCTAGTGAATGCTATTGCTAAGCATCATTCAGCTGAAGAGCAGATTCATAGAAATATTACCTTTTTGTTTTGTTTTGTTCTGTTTGTTTTTTGAGATAGGGTTTTGCTATGTAGTTCAGGACAGACTTGAATTCACTGTGTAGCCCAGGCTGGCCTTAAACTTGCAGTGATCCTCCTGCCTCAGCCTCCTGAGTGCTGGGATTACAGGCGTGCAGCACTATATCCATAGAAACATTACTATCCTCATCCACCTTATTCGCTGGATCTGTCACTGTGTGACTTCTGGTTCTTCTCCAAAGTCAAAATGACCATGAAAGGTACGTGTTTTACGTCATGCGATAGCCAAAACGGTGCAACTAAAGACACTCACTCCAGAACGGCTTCGGAAAATGGCAAGAGTGACAGGATAAGCGTGGGGCTGGGATAAAGGGTCATGTGGTCTGTGCATTAGCATAGCAGTTTCTCACTCTAATAAAGCCCCAGTTTACTGGTTTGGTCTGGGAATTGGTTACAGTGGTTGCCCACGGAGCGTCACTTGGGCAGTGAGTTTGTTTATGTACTGACTATCTTTGAGCTTGCTTGGGCGGGTATCATTTCAGTCAGTTGATTCTTGTATGGAATAAACTTGATAAAAATTGTCACTTTTATATTTCCTGATATAAAAATGAAAAAATACAACTTTTGGTCATTTCGTATTTAAATAATTGGATTGATAAGTGGTTAATTAGGTCTTATGAGAAGAAACAATCCATACTGTTTAAAAATTTCCAGACTATGCCCATGCCTTCTCTGCAAGGTAAGTCCACGTGCTGTGTCTTCATTTTCTATCACCACATAACAAATGACCCACAGCTTAGCAGCTTAAAGCACAGCGCACGTTTATTCCTTTGGTCAGGAATCCAGCCCCAGCTTACCTGGGTCCTCTGCTGCAGGGAGCAGTACATGCCTGAGACCCTCATTTTGGACAGGTCTGAAGCCTGCTCCACTGGGGCCTGGTCTGTTCCAGTCTCGCTTGGTCGCGGGTTGGTTTTGGTTCTTGAAGGCTCTTAGTCTGGGCTGTCAGTCTGGGCTGCCCCCGTCCCTTGCTGTGCCGGTCTCTCCAGCATTGCATGGCAGTGACTTCTCAGCAAGGTGGCCAAGAAGGGAAGAGCACCACCGGCAAGATGGAGCCCCGGTCCTTTCTAGCCAGGCCTCGGAGGTTACCTCCCATCACTTTTGCTACATCCTGTGGGACAGAAGCTGTCATCAGGAGTTTCCCATACTCAAGAGGAGAGGACTATTCAAGTAAGTGATGGCCAGGGAGGAAGCAATCACAGGAAGCTGTTTTACAACAAGCTCACCACAGTGACCACTGTATTATTCTAAGCAGGTGTCTAACATCTTCATCCACAAAGCCCTTCAGTGATGGGAAGTTCAAGCTCATAATAAAACCCATTACTGAGGACGACTATAGCCTTGGAAAGTGAAGATTCACTGTGCACACTCTCAGAATTTCCTCTGGTAGTTGTATTTGTTTACGCAAACCTTTGGTCACCTTCCCTAGTTCGCATGCAGCTCTTTGGTTGGGGAAAATCCCCCTTCACAGTGGGAAAAGGAGAGGAGGCCATGGAAAAAGCCATCCATAGAAGTCATTCTGAAGCCTCCTTAAGCTGTGTGTGCACTGGGCTTGAACTAGCTTTGCAGAGAGGAAAGTGGTTAGGCTTCTTTGCCAGCAATCTTTCCCTTAAAACTTGCAACAAGTACTGTGCTAGAATAACTAACTCAGAGCCTGGTGCCGTGCGCGTCTGCCTTCTCACCCTCTGCATTTGTGACTGTCGAGTTCCCAGGAGGGAAGAAAGGTGTCTCTTGCCTTCCTGTATCCCTAGCCCTGAGTGAGGCACAATGAGCTGTCAGTGGATGTTTTCTTAAGTAGTTAGTTCATCAACAGTTTCTTTTCCAAAATAAAGATGATATTACTACCCCTATAAAGTCACAGAATGCAGATGGCCCAAATTCTGATTCAAACACTCAAGGGAATGAATGGGGAAGAGGAACGGAGGCCTCTGCCCCTGGGTGACAAACGCGTCCCCTCCAGCCTCTTTCCATGTGGTAGAAGAGCTAATGCTTAGGCCTCCTCCTGAGATCCCCCTTCCCCGTGAAAGACCTCGGGGAGAATAATGAGAAGGGTCACGGTGAAGGATGTGAAGAGCCACTCCTCACGGAGGAATAAATGGTTCACACATGAGCTACAGAGCCATGTGTACTAAGGCCTCTTGGGTGGAAAATAGAGGTTAAAAACTGGCGCCAGGGTCACTACAACTTGTGTGGAGCTCTCCGAAGCCCCGTCTGCACTAGCCTCCCTGTCCTTGGGAGGTGTAGCAGAAGCAGAAGCCATTGTGAATGCAGGCACGGCAGCATTCCAAACCTCCGCCAGCTCAAGATGAAGTTGACAGTGCCCCAGATGACACCGGCCTGCTGTGGTCTGAGGGGTCCTCACAGCGTGCACCTGCCCGGCAGTGAGTGCAGCCAGACTTTTCCTGGCCACCAGGTCATTTGGCAGATGCTGAATTGGAATCCTCGTCCACTCTGACCAGAGTTTGGTTGCCAAATGTTAGTAGCCTGGAATAGCTCACTTTACCAGGTCATCTGTATCTGTGCATGACAGTTTATTGAATAACATCAATGCATGCGCAAAAAATGTCCTTAAGTTTTAAAAATTTTTATTAGTATATATTTGTCATCCACCATGATTACATTTAGCTTGGGGATTTCATACATATATACATCACATCTTGATCATTTTTACTACCCCTGCCCCACCCTCTCCTCTCTCCCTCCTTCCCCAGATTACCTTCCCATCTCTACAGAGTCAACCTCCGTGTTTCTTAGCACGAGTTTTACTTTGTTCTTTACGTTGTTTATATTTTGGGACTGATTTATTTCACTTAGTGTCATGGTCTCAAAATCGATCCATTTTCCTGCAAATGACTGAAATGTATCCTTCTTTTTGGCAGAGTAGTACCTTAAGGGCCCACAATCTTTAGACCCCAAACCATGCTTAGACACTCAACCCTCCCCAAAGCCAAGGGAGGAGATGGCAGAAGCCCCTTCCCTTGGGGTCACCTCTGGCTCATGGGAAGTATGTGAGCGTCTCTGAATGTATCAACATGGTATGCCTATTAAGTGAGAAGGAATTTGTACACATTACATATGAATGCATGTATACAGTTGGCCTTCCATCTTCATAGGTTCTGCACCCATGAATTCAACTAAAAATATAAAGAAAAAAATCCATCCATGCTGACTTTGCACACACTTTTGTCATCCCGTAAGCAAAGCATTAAAACTCTTTCTATAGCATTTATACTGGGCTAGGTGTTCTAAGCAACCTAGAAATGTTTAAAGCAAACAACAGGATCTGCTCAAGTTATATTCAAATACCATACCACTTTATATAAGGGATTTGAGCATAAATGGACTTGGGGATCTGCAGAAGGGTGGATAGAACTGGACCCCTCAGCCCAGATACTGGGGGATAAATGTGTTCAATTGGCAAGAAGGAAGACCAGGGCTTTGGGCACTGTCTGGTGTATGGAATAGAGCTGGGGACATGATGGCAGATGAATGGGGAGGTGGATCAGCTCTGCACGTGTGGTCGAGCGTGGTGCCACATGAAATCAGAGACTTACTCTCCTGGTGGGTTATTTCCTTATGTGCTTTGTAGTCTCTCCCTGAAAGCTAGCTCACGTTCAGTGGGAGCTTTTTCCCCTGGGGCTCCACGGTGTTCTGGTAGAGGAAGCATGCCTCAGGATACGGGCTTACCTCTGTAGGGTCCTGTTGGGTCACATTGGTTTCAGGCCAGTTTGTGTGTTGATTTCTCTATTGGTTTTCATGCTGTGAATGATGAGCATTTGAGCCTTGGCACTGTGATTGCCACAGCTTGGGTTGTGATCATTTACACATTGCTTTTTCCACTGCAGGTTTTAGTGCTGCTTCTGTGCTATTGTCGGTCATTCAGCTGGTAGATAGGGCTTGCCCAGCCCTCGCAGGCACCGGGCTTTAAGAAAAACCCCCTTTCTGTTCTGGGCGACCCACAAGGCTGTGGATCTCCGCTCTGCCTCTGCTTGGACAGCAATGCCCCAGCCTTGGTGAGACGTTTCAGTTTCAATTCCCTTCCAGCTCCCACCCTCACTTCCAATTTCCACTGCGTTTTGGAATCTGGAATCCCTCCCTTCTTCCTTGCAAATGCACCTGAGATTTCACATTGTTTTATCCAGTGTTTACGTGTGTGTGTGTGTGTGTGTGTGTGATAGGGGCTTCCTGTGTTGGCTCAGACCGGAACTCCGTAGTGCTGTAATCATCTGTCACCACCATGTTTCCCACTGGCAGTGGGACCGTATCTTATTGTAGACACTCAATAAATTTCTGTGAATGAGTGAGAAAATAAGCCTGTGATTCTTTAGTACCGCTTCCTAATTACCTCCTGGCTAGTTATCAGACGTTGGTTTTAAAAAGACAGGCCAGGCAGAAATGGAAGACCGAGAAGACAAATTTATAACAATAAAATCTCGTTATAATACACATAGATTTAGGGAGCATGCATATTTAACTTCATAATGACAGAGTTTAATACTAAAAATGCTAACTGGGAAGAACTATCAGTAATGGAAATCTTTAATACTGCTGTAAAGCCCAGCCAGAGAGAATTTGTTCTCATAAACTCTGGGGAATGACCATGGAAAGGAGAGCTGGCACCTTCCTGTTTCCTCTGTGAGAATCTCACACATCCACTGACAATGGGTGACCTGGAACCCAGCTGGCCTCCAAAATGTGTGTGTGTGTGTGTGTGTGTGTGTGTGTGTGTGTGTGTGTGTGATAGGGGCTTCCTGTGTTGGCTCAGACCGGAACTCCGTAGTGCTGTAATCATCTGTCACCACCATGTTTCCCACTGGCAGTGGGACCGTATCTTATTGTAGACACTCAATAAATTTCTGTGAATGAGTGAGAAAATAAGCCTGTGATTCTTTAGTACCGCTTCCTAATTACCTCCTGGCTAGTTATCAGACGTTGGTTTTAAAAAGACAGGCCAGGCAGAAATGGAAGACCGAGAAGACAAATTTATAACAATAAAATCTCGTTATAA